AAAAAAAAAAAAAAAAAAAAAAACAACAGAACACAAGCATAATCCATGTATGTATTTCTAAAGCCGATTGAGTCACAGACTGCAATAAGTGGTCAGTTCCTCCTATTTCACGACAGTTCAGTAATGAGCACACTTAACAGTGAGAGCCGAGCCATGCTAGCCCTTCAAAAGGTCATGCTGACATGCAATCAGAATGGTAGTTCTGTCTTAATCTGCTTTGACCCTGGTTTCCATAGCAACAGCATTGTCTCTTACCTGCACTGTGGTCAGCCATTGCACTGATCTTAGCCTCGTCAGCTACTGTTAAAAAGGTAAATGTAAGAAGGTTAGCCCAGTTAGTGCCCGCATTCCACATGCAACAAACAAAATAAATGGAACATTAAGATGAAATGTCTCAGTGCATGCAGGCGTTTCATCCCCCTCGAGAGTCTTAATGCAATATTGGGAAATTAAAACACTCCATGCAGAGTTCGCTGGCTGCAAACCGCAGGCACTTATGTTATTACATGTTAGCATCACCCACTTAAACAGAATTAAAACTGTTAATTATTTTCATCATTTGCTCATGCCAAAAAAAGCAGATCATTCCAAAGGCAGACAAAACAGAATAGTAATTATTGTAATGATTGCTTTCTGCTTGTGACACGTCTCTTTCCCCAGCAATTGCGATTAATTGTGGTTGTATTAATAGTTGTATTAGGAGACAATCTCAGGGGTTATGGTAATACACAAGGCTGACAAATATAGTTCAATAGACATTTCCTGCTGAGGTACTGCATTGCATATGGGGCAATATATCTGTGTACAGGTCGGAATGCATTTGAACTGAAAGATGAGGATGTGACTTAACTCTGATTGTGGCCAGCCAACATGAGAGGGCTTCTTCATTCTTCATGGTTCCATTAGGAACGATGAGACAAAGTTTTGTCACATGACAAGCATAGCCAATGGGAAATTAACATTACAAACAAACCCTCCCTAAAGGGGTCAGAATTTCTGTTGACGGCAACCACCCAACAGCTTTTAAAACTAGTATTATGATTATTGAATGATCAGTGCAAGTCAGCTGTGAATGGTTTGTGGGCCTAATCAGTGAAGTTGTGGGACAACAGCCAGAAACATTCATGTAGTACAATTAAAGGCCAACCAAACTTTCAATTTTAGGGCTCATGTCAACTGGAGGTTTTACAGTGTTTGGAACAGACATCAAATGCAAGCCAGTAAAATCCTATGGACTTCACTTGAGCAGTTCACTAGCAGTTTAAAGGCTGTGTTTGGCCTAATTTGCGTTTGACCTGCTTTCCTTGTTTGAACTGGGGTAAAAAAAAGCATCCACAGCCAGAGTAGAAAAGCTTGTTTTCTGCCAGTATTGGCTATTCTCTCTGTGTGGAAGCAGTGATTTATCCACAGAGGTCTAACACACCCCATGCGGAGTAAGAGCTAGAGCTCTCCAATAAACAGGGTGCATAAGCTTTGCTGACTGCAGAGGTAAAGGTCTGACTCAGTAAGGGGCATGTCAGATCTCTGCAGAGAGGCCACTGCTTCCACACAGAGAACAAGGGTCCTTCTGTGTAGCATACTGTCAGAGGACAGGCTTTTCTACTCAGATTGCGGCTGCTTGCTAAGGAACATTAACTGTAAGACTGCATATTTTTGCATGCACCTGAAATGTGTTCAGATGGCAACAGTTATAACTTTAGTAAGAAACTGGGGCGAAAGTGACCGAAATATGGCAAGGGTGTAACCAAAGCATATATACAAAATGTTCAATATTGTAATTATATGATGTTATTTAACTTATTTTTAGCAGGGGTTGAATGTGGTCTATTTTCTGCTTAACTGAACTCTGCATGTTTGGGCAAACCTGAGCTGGGTATACATCTGGACCCGCTTCATTTTGATGCTTTTTGATCCCAGAACTCTCTATGGAATTTGATATCAAGTTTTACATTCATAACTAGGGATGTGGAGAACAAAAGGTGAACATAAGAAACTTCCCAACCCATGTCATGTTTCATTTCCATTGTGGCTCCTTCAACGCTATAAAACATAAATGGGCCTTCTCAGAGGAGGAACTAATGTATATTAGTGCTGCAGACAACAGTTATTCACCAAAAAGTGTACACTTTGAGCCCCGTGATTCAGTCATCCTCTAGATGCTGATTTAGTCATGCTGCTGCCAACCTAATATTCTCCACAGAGGCTACATAGAACCATAAGAAGTTACTGGAGAGAACTATGAAACACATCAGGGTTAATCTGCATTATACATACAAAATGAATGCACATTTACAAGACAACAAAGGGTTAAAGTTCTGATTAATATTTTCCACAGATACAATATCTGGACTGTGAACAGTGTTAGAAGAAATAATTCCTCATGGCCAGTATAATTGCAACCAACCACGCTATTGATTGGCCTTATACTGAAGCTGAAATCTACATTGTGAGCCATTTAATCTTATTATCCTGGTGAAATAATACCTAGCTCTCTGCAAGCTGGCAAAGTCGCATTGCTTTTATAAGTACTCTGGCAAAGACAGTCAATTAAACTAATGGCTGCCAAGATTAAATCTAAACGTAAACACTTTGTTTCAGTGGTAACGAGTCAAATGTTCAGAGTTAGTCTGCTTCCTAAGTGTATTTCCCTAATATTCTGAAACCTGCTTAGTGACCTGTCACTGACTGATGAGAATTCTCGGTCCATGGGACATTACCACATTCATACGCAGAAGGGATAACACAGGTCAAAGTTCACTACAACTCAACATTTCACATGATGTACAGGAAAAAAAGTAGACCTGCTGATTCTATGTTCAGCTTCTGTTATCATTGAATGTTATATGGTCTCTCATAAAGGTTTTCTGTGGTTATAATGTCATTATCTTTTTATTGAACATACATAATGCAACGGATTTTTTTTTCTCCACATTCTTTTCCATAGCTTTTCTTACCCACTGACTACAGCCTGGCGAAATGACGCAAAGTTGTAACCTAATTTGTCTGATCATGACTTCATCAGATATGTGTACTTGATGTGAATTATATAACCAATTAATGTATCTAGTGTTTTGGAGAGTGGTAGATTGTGGTCCATCTAGTCCCAATAGCAGTTGATGACGCAACAAAATTTACATTAAGGTGCACTGGACTGTAAGCTTCTGGCCTTTAGTAGACTCCCAGGTTATCATTACTATAATAAAGGGCTGCATTAAATATGGGACTTAAAGTAACATTCTATACAAAGTAAAGTGCCGATAGACATTTAATGACAGTCCTAGTGTCTATAGGGCACCAGTAGACACCACTAGCTTAGGCTTTCCAGAGAGGAGCAGATAGAGACAGGATAGAAAACTTTGTCCAAATGATTTTGCCCCAATTACGTTGGCTAACCCAAATGGTCACATAATTCAACCATGCTAGCTTTAGGAAGAGCTGGAATATTCAGATGACTGGAGAACATTCCAAATGCCCTCTGATGTATGCCCAATCGGTCTGAATGTAGATCAGTGTCAAGGAAGATTAAAGTTGAGCTGCAGGCAAAAACATATTATATTCCTCAATAGCCACAATGAATATAAATCCACTTTGTGTGCACCAAATGCCTTTGTAAACCCAAACTTTACATTAGTAAATTGAGCAGTAACATCACTGCTATGCTACACATAGCCTGTGCAGACAACAGAGCTGGGGCAGGACCCAGCAGGTACACCCAACTGCAGGGTGCCTACAGGAATCTACAGGGGGCAGATACAATACCCTGTACAAGAAGAGAGACCATCAGTGACATGTCTATATTTTGGAAACTCATGCATAGATGCAAAGTGCAGGAGTTGTTCTAAACTGGATTACTGCACAGATCTGGAAGAAATAAACAAAGGACACAAAGAACACAACAGTAACCTTGGGCATAGTCTTCAAAACATTGGATAATACCATAAGAAACTTTACAAATATCCTCCCAAATTGAGTTTGGTTTGGTTTTAACATTCGATTATGGAAATTAATGGAGTTTTTCTTTAACGAAAACCACATTCACTGCTAGAATTCCATTCAATTCAAGAAAATGTTTCCTTTGTGCACCTTCAATTTTTTGGGGCACTACGGGCAAAAACAATCGCCAATTTGACTCCATTATTAGAAAATCGAATGTGTGTTCTGAAAGCTATTTTGTTTCAAACTAAATTCTACTGCTTTATGGCCATCTTGAAAATGCATGTTCCTTTTGTATTTAGACATTAGTTTAGCCCAGATTTTAGCTTTAAAGAAAGGGAGACAAAACCAAGTGCGATGACCAAACAAAATCTCACTTCTGGGAGTTTTGGTATAAACATTAAAGAGCGGGCGGCTATAAATGTGGAATTATGCAGCCTGTGATTCAGATGCTGCTACTAAGACTCAGTTCATCAGCTGTGCAGTGGGAAATGATGACCTTTGAATAAGTCCTAGTATCTGCTTATCAGAAGACACAGCAGACGTCACATGCTTGGCTAATGCTTGCACGAATTCCGAACTCCCTCCGTCTGGCTGGGGCTGGCAGATCAGAAATAAAATGATATTTAGAGAATTAATCTATCCACAGAGTGAGAAAGGAAGGCGCTGAGCTCTTTTATCTGTGAACTTGTCATGAGGAATAAATCCATATCTTATTTTATATACTGTAGATACCGAAGAAGAGCCGCCATGCCCAGCAGGCTGCAGTAAGGTAGCACCTCATAAAGCCATTCAGTAAGTCAGGATTGTGTACAGATAAACCGCATAGTGATGATGGAAATACTACATTTCAGGAATTTTAATTAGAATTTTAAGGAATTATCTCACAGACAAGTCCAACAGCTGTCATTAGATATTCATCTGTTTTCAGTGGAAATGGGTTTTGGGGGATTAAAAATAATCCATGATTACTACAAAAGAAGGAGGGAATGTGACATTTTCTCTAGGTACATATATTTGATAATGACACCAAAAACAAATTTTCTTATCTATAGGTAGAGTGACTGATGAAACAGATTTTTCCCCACTAAAAAAAAACAAAAAAAAACTATGTGGACCACAATACAGTACGATGGAATTGCTCCTATAGTTTCACACTTTTGTGTGTACTGTAACAGTGATGCTATAATGGATTGTTCAACCAAATATAGCCGAGATCTAAGATTGTCATATCTATTTACTAAGGGACTGCAGGAATTGGGAACTATGAACACAACAAAACGGAGGAGCCTGGCATAACATCCTGCTTTTCATTCAAGGTGGAAAACAATTTCATAAAACATTTCATAGCAATAAATAAATAATTAGCCTTGTTTATGATACTCCATTGAAGTAACACCTGTTAACTGCTGGGAACCTAGAGAGAGTAGCATAGGATTCACAGTATGGGAAGACATACACACATTTGTTACCTAAATCCATGCTTTTAGATTTTCGGGTTTTAACGAAGTCTAGCTGACTTGCATCTCCAAACTGCTTGGTGCGTTTCTCTGACATGCTCTGGCGACCAAACCCTTCTCTCTGGAAGCTAAGGGATGGATCTACATCTGGACTCAAAGTGCTGGGAAGAACAAAAATTTAGGGAATCATAAAATATGCATATGTGTATGAATTAGTTACTTAAACAATTGTTCTATACAGGTACATAGACATTGATGCTATTTAACTTTTAAAGCAGACACCAACTTTACATGAAAAGCCTCTTCCATACACCTTCCTCATCCCGGTTTATGATGTTAACCAGGGCAACACTTACATTGCTTCTGGGAGAAGGCCCATTCTCCTGTTAAACAAAAATTGCCAGTTTGGCCACAGAGGTAATAATAATAGGAAGGGGGTTGGTGGCTTAGCTGAAGATGACAGAACGTATCCTAGAAGCTGGAGAAGTTCGTAAATAGTAGAAGTAATAATGTAAATTCAAGTTCAGAGGGGTGCACAGGCCTTTCAGGTTAACAAAAAGTGATATCATACAATTAGGCAGGACGGTTAAAGATTTACATGGTTGGCAGGCTTGTTTCAAGCTGTAAGCACATCTGTTACTTAAAGTGTAGCTCCACTTTTGCAGTCAAATTTGAGAAACCCCTACTATATTTTTGTTGTGTCCCCAATTCACACAGCATATCTAAAAATATTTTTCAAAATATTTCTTACAATTAAGGTTGTTCTTTTGAAGCAGAAATATGCAAAGAACTGCTATTCTGCACAATTTCAGAGGGGCAAACTGGGGGCAGAGCATGTTCATTAGTTCTCCTCATTAACATATAATGCAGAACACAAGCCTTAGGATCTTTAAGCCCCCCATCCCTAACATTAAATCTCTTCAAAAGGTAAGCAGGCATTTTTATAAATGTTTTAAGTTATGTTATGTGAAGGGGAACATGTAACAAGTATAGAGCAGGTGCTATCCCTATTTGGTTGCAAAAGCAGAGATACACTTTAGCCTGCATTCACACCTAGGCGTCAGCGCTTTTACATGTATTTCGCCTGGCGTATGTTGCTAGTTTTTTGCACATTTTTACACATTAGACACGTGCACATGAAGGCCCGTGTCTTGGCTGGCAGTTCGAACACATTGCGGTCCATGGGGAAACGCGTACTAAAATATGCAAACCAATTGTTTTGCGCGTTTTTCAGTTTTTTCATTTGAACTCTATGGCGGCAAACACACTGCAAAATGCCCCAAAAGAAGCTCAGGAACTTTTTTTGAGCGACAGGCATTTTGCAGCTTGTGACAAAAAGCCTAGGTGTGAATGGGGGCCATTGAAATTAATGGGAATTTATGAGCTGAGCGTTTGGATGCACGTATTTATGTGCAACAAAATGCCTAGATGTGACTGGGGCCTTGGAGAATAAATTATAATAGAAAATAAAGCAAGTGCACAAGAGGTAAAATAAATGTGAAAAAGCTTAACTCAGGCTTTAAAAGGCCACCAAAAATTGAATTTACCGCCAAACATAATATACTTATTTAAAGCACCACCCTGGAGGCAATTTGTAGAACAAACATTTCTAAGTGTCCTGAATGTCACCTTGCCTAGCCAAGCACCGTCATTAGGATGTGTCCTACCAGCACATTCATCCCTCTTCCGTCCAATTATTAAAATATTCATCAGGTTTATGTAGGCTCACATCTCTTCCCCGGGACTGATTTGGGAAAAGCTTTGCCACCCGGCGACCCTGCATATTATTAACATTCCTTCTATTAATCCCTTCTTATTGCACACTTTGTTTTCATAATATTTTCATGAAGGATTAGGGAGATAATGTCATGCTGGACGGCATACATTTCCCTCTGTGATTCAGAACAGCTGCCAGGGTTGTTTGTGTAACCCTCATATGTCCATTGTGACTGCTCCAAGTTTCTGCCTCCGAGCAAGAGGTTGTAGAGAACATGTCGCTCCCCTCTGTTTGTCTACTTGGCCCCCTGACTGCCGGAAATTGAACTGCATGGCTTTATTGTTAATGAATCTGGTTTTTAATGGCTCTGTTATAATGAGCGGTCTTTGCATGTGAATAAAGGAACCAGAAGGTTACATGGTCAGAACTTTGGCTGTACCAGAAGATGATTCACTATGCTTTGATGGGTGAGAGGGCTAATTAAGATGGCACAAGTAGCATGACCTTTAATCAGAATCCACTGACATTAGCCAAATACTCTGAATACATTTATAGTTTATCACGAAAGAGCGACAGGTAAAAATGTACAAATCCTTACGAATCTGCAGAAATTAAAAGGCAATTCCAGGCAATTAAAAAAAATAAAAAGACGTGTAGCTGTTAATACTAACTAGCAATCTCACCATCATTGCCAACTCTCCTCATTTGAGGTTTTTTTTTTAAATACCTTCCCATAATCCCTTGCAGCAAGGACTAGACAAAATTCTCAAAGCCCTGAATCCACTTGTTAGCCATGTACAGGTATGTCTTCTCTTTTATAGTGAGATATAATGTTTTCTGTAGGCTGCAGTGTGTTTAGAACAGAAATGTAAATAATATATTTTTACCAGTCCAAGAATGTAAGTAAAATACAGAATTTTAGATGGATAGGGATGGAAATTACCGTCCTTCTGGGCTTCTGGTTCAGAATCTGGTGTTCCCTGAACACCAGGTTTTTGAATCTGGTTCCCTGAACACCAGGTTTTTGGCAACCTAAATATCTGACAAAGTGAGAAGGTATCTTTAGCACCAACCAGGTTGGCTGTGTACCCTCTTATGTATTCTAGTGTTAAATGTTCAGAAAGCCAATACACCCAAAATGAATATCACATTTGATAGATGCTGGGAAGTCAAACCACCAAAGAGTTTCTTTTATGGTGAGGAAACCTCTGGGTTAGTGTTGCCAGGTCTACAGATTTCCTAGAGCCAGTCGGAGGCTGCCTGTTTTTTTATTGTATTTTTACAATATTTAGTATTTTTATTGCATTTTGAAAAGGTAGAAATGGGAGCACCCAAATGTGACTGCAAACACCCAACTCTCCATAGAGGTCAGTAACAGGGACTATTGCAGGAAACTTTGACTACCTCAATGAAACTTTTGACAAATCTGTATCCAAGTGGGGTGGGGGGAGTGACTTATTTAACCACACACTACCTCTGACTGAAATATAATCTTTGGGTGTCCTGAACTTCAACTTTTATGCAGACAAGAAACAAAAAAAGAACCTCAAAGAAAATCTGTACTGAGAGAATAGGAGAAATGCCAACACTAATACTGACTTTGTTCTTAAAATGCCTGTTGCCTGGCTTCAGCACCTTGTAACACTAACCTGAAATAAGTCTGCATTTCACAAACATCAGTTAAACCAGAACTAATCTCTATATTTGTCCTTAGTCAGGGATTTTTAATGTACTGAAGCCATTTAATGCAGCATGACAGCAAAGGAATCAGTATTTTTAGGAGAGGACAGAAATGGCAGCCCACATACCGTATATATCCTTGGTGTAGGTTTCCTTTAACAGAAAATTAGTTGGGGCTTGTGTATATGGGCTTTAGTTTGCAACAGATCCGTGATCCCTTCAAGTCAATGGGAATGCCAAAGCTGCTTAGGAGGTCAACTGCAAGTCAAATGCACCTGTGCAACAATTCAAGTGGAACTCAAAAGTGTCCAAAACAAATCTCAGAAGGAAGCTAAATGCACCTGAAAGCATGCTGAATTTGCTCATCCACACATGCCTTACCCAAACTGCAACTGGCATAACCCCAAAATGAACAGAAGACAAGAAAGGAGAGAAACTAAATATGTGCATTTAAAACAGAATTCCCCTATGACAAAGGGATTGTTATTCGACCATCCTAGAACTACAAAGCTATGCTGAAGTTTGTAAACCTTTAGCGGCTGTAGCGCCTAGTTTCCTTCTACATTGCATCTCAGAATAGCTGAGAAGAGCTGCACAGAGAAGGTGCTCTGCTTCGCTCTTTCCCTGGCAATCTCGCTGATGCACTGAAAGCAGGCTCAAGAGAAGGACCAACTGCAGAAGCGGCATATAATAATTCTCGCTGCTTGTGCTAATTATCACTACAGCCTTAGGAGGTGGCTCCACTGAGAGCTTTATTTTGCTTATTGATGTACATAATTACAAGGTTTGCAAATTAATGCACAATTCCCCAATTACACAGAGGCTGTAGTCTTCAGACTGTTTAATAATTATCAAATTCCAGGTGACTATCAACTCTGGATTTCACTGTGTGATGAAAATCATGCAGACCTGCCAGGTAACATGTGGCATAGGAACAAAACAATTGGCTGCATCCCATATCTATTAGCAAGTTTCAATTTTGGCTGTTTTCTCAAACTGAAATGAAGAATAAAAAAAAAAAAAAAGGAGGTATGTGGATCTAGGGGAGAACTGCCATTTTTATCACTGATCTGGAAGTCTGAATAGTTCCAGATTCCTTCTCTACGAACTTCCTATAGGTTAGTGCATCAATAGTAATTGTCCGTTCCCCCCAAAGATAACAGAAGCTGCTGCGGTCTCGGCCCCTACATATTTCTAATGCCTTTCTCAATGTCCCAGAGCTACAAACCCAAATTAATAATGAAGTCATGAACACCTGCCACTGCTGCCCATTCTTTCTAAAATAATGCTAGTTGCCTGCTAATGCTTTGGTCTTGGTACTGACCTGTACCAAGTACAGTAATTAGGAATTTGCTGTATGTCTGTTCTGGGTCAGTTAAGGTGCCCATACACCTCGCGATCGTACGATAATCGCAAGGTGTATGGAAGGCGTGCGGCCGTTCCTACTGTACGGTCACACGTCTTTTGTCTAACGAGCATGTTTGAAAACCCGCCGAGAATCATACGATTGTCGGAGGGTTTGTGGCATGCTCGGGAGACAAATGCCGAACGGGCCAGTGTATGCAAGCGCACACTGCCCGTTCAGCATTGCAGTCATCAGAAGCCCGGCCCTCAGGGGGGCAGGCTTTCGATGATCGCAAGTACGATCTGCCTGTCCAAGATGGGCAGATCGTACCAGCTTTTAATTAGCTTGCAACCATCGCAAGACAAAGTCTTGCAATGGTTGTAAGGTGTATGGGCACCTTAACTCTGGACAAAAGGAGGACAGAAAACAGAACTTTCTGGTGGTGGCCAAAAATGACAGTACCCATAGTTCTCTTATGACAGGTGTACTTTACCACTGTACCAACACTGAAGGGGCCATGAAGTTTGAAGGGCCTTTTCCTCTCCATGGAGCAGAACAAATGGAGTCTGCTTAACCTTCAAATGGTGCACATTTTCTTTTGAGTATTATAAACACTTGTACCAGAGTTGAAAATTGGATCCCAGCACATTAACTTATTTAAAGCCGACAGTTTCCTCACTGGATCAAATTAACTGGTTTGCACAGCCTAAAATAGTGCAAATAGGTAGGTTCCTATACCAAGCAGGCTTTTAGCGTTATAGCAGGCTAGAAATGGATAGGAGTTAGTACTTTTTTGCCAAACAGTGCATTTAAAGTAGAAACACAGATGTCGTGGTTTGTCTGCAGATATAGAAAAAAAACATTTTCTTCATAGGTTTGAGTTTAAGTAGAACCAGCTTGAGTGTTAACCTAAACTGCAATGTGTTAACCTTACAAAGAAATACAATCCAGTCTTACCTCTCTGTGGATTCACTAGCTACATTTTTTGACCAGGCTCCTGCAGAGTCTGTAACACATCCTACATCATCGTGTGAGCTGGAAGACGACTGGTCGGAGAGCTGGGAAGGCATTGCTGGGGATCTGTCATCTTCAATGATCACAGTGTCATCCTGAGGCATGTTCACTGTTGGGGAAAGTTGATATTTACCTGCAGAAAGCAGAAAACAGCATTACATGACAGAGAGCTTGACTAAGCAATTCCAGCAGCGTCTACACACCCCCTCCCCGAGTACTGCTCAGTGTATTTGAAGCCTTTAGTGAGACTTGTGTTTACTGAGAAAGAAAACAGCAGTTATTTATCTACTGTGTGTGACACATACAAATTATGCCAGTTGGGAATTAAAAAGGTGAGCAAAACACATAGCTTATGAGTTCAAGCTTTGAAAACCTATGGCTAAAAGTTGCATCTTTAATTTTAGATGAGGTCAACAATGTCTACAGCTACTTAGATTTTGTGGAACTTCAAGTACCAACTCACAGTCAATGCAGAAACGTATCTTGGTGCAGCAGGGGCCTATGTGATTGACACTATCCTGCTAATGTAAAATGGTAACATTCAACCATCCTAAATGTCCCACCTTTCCCAGAACTAATGACAACAGATTTTACATGCACTGCCATCTGCTGCTGAAATTTGGTATCACAAAGTGCTACTACTGTATGTGCCAGTCTCCTGTGATCTCCAACACAAAATCACTCAGACTGGGAGAGGGAGGGCCCGCAAGAATAGTCAGCTGCAATGTCCACTTAGCAAATAATGAAGTCTTTAACAGCCTAGCCATAATACTGCATCTCTCCATGTACAGTCACTCTTTGGTTTCGTCAGTCTCCTACATGAAATATGGCTTCTTAAATTCTATTTATCGCTCTGAAACAGTTTCTTTAGAAAGTCTTAAAAGGGCCAGTTGACCCAAAACTAATATTTTAGATTTTGATAGATAATAATGTAGAGTTAATCACTCAAAAGGTTTATTATATCTTTGGTGGTGACAACAGGCATACTTATGAAGTGTTCCTCAATACCCTAATGGAATTTTTATATGATAGAGGGTACAAAAAAGTATTTGAAAACACATGACTTCTAGTGGGCAGAAACAAAAGACAAGATCTCATGGCTGCTTCAACATATATATGAAGCAAGTGGGTGAGTCACCCTAGCAGATCCCCTCTACAAGTGATCATCAGTTGTGAGAGTATTGCCTCTATTTCTACATACTGACACACCTTGGAGACATACAATGGGGCTGTGTTTCTTCCCCCATCAGGATAAACAATGGCACTCTAGTGAGTCAGGTTCTAGGTGATGGTGGGGCTCTGCTCTGTCAAGGGTCTTGGCGCTGAGTTGTGCATTTAATGGCAATGAGCCTGCTGCAAATGCTTATTTCTCAGCACACATCATAGTTGTTAGGCAGTTTTATTTACTGCTTATGGTTATAAAACAATACTTTATGGATACTAGCTGTTGCATTATTGTATTTATCTGTATGTGGATACTTTTTTAGCAGCTTAGTCTACATGGACTTTTCTGTTGCACTTGGTGGACATTAAGTTTTGCAGCACTAGTTTTTGGCAGCTCCATGTACTATCTGAACTTGAGTTTTTGTTAGCATAGCTTAGGATTTTTTTAAAGTAGTATTTTAATGAGTATACTTGTTTGGGCTAAGATGATGGATATTAATTAAATGCTGCTAATCGCTACTGCCCAGCTTCTGAGGTCCAAACTACTTAGGGACTGTAGGTTGAGGAAACAGGAGATGTTTAAATCATAGGGATAGCTAGAAGTGCTGGCACAAATATTACACAATTGAATTGTGCCAAGTAGTTAGAGGATTGCCTGATAGAAGAGTGAATTTAGATGTGTTGGTGACATAAAATTAGAATCTCGGCAAAACCCCAGTGCATGCCATCTCATGAGGCTTCAGTGCAGTACATGAGCAGTGGAAATGTAATTAAAACCCACATATACGGATCAGTCATCTTACAGTTCACTGTTACAAAACAAAGCAATACATTATGTGATGTTCCAATTTTCACCAGTAAATTCACTCATCACAGCTTAGTCCTTTGTGCATCCATATATGAGACTTGATAAATTCCCATCTACGCAATAATATTAGAGAATCGCATTTTATAACACAAACAAACTTATCTCCAGGGCATAACTTCTTCCGGAACTTGGCCAAACCGTATGTTAATCATATTTCATAAGGGCAAAGATCTCTCCTGTTCATCAAGATCCATATCAATTAATTGTTTATTTTAACAAAGCATGTTTTCATGCAACCTTGCCGTGAGTAACGAACCGTTTCACCTCCATGCAATTAAACATGACCGTGAAATGTTACTTTGTGTACTTAGGAGGTATAATAAATGTCAGGGAACAATCAAAACACATTTTAAGGTGCACCTGTTATGCAAACACTGTAGTCAGCCATTCTGTGATCTACATTTGCTATTGCCCCCTATATGCTCAGAGCACCATAGCCGGGACGGATCCCAACAATACTATCAAGATCACCCTTCTGGCTGATTGACAGTGGACTCTGCCAGCTTTGCCCTCCCCATCCATCCCTCCAGTCATCGGGTTATCAGGAAGTGAGCAAGAGGTAGAATGTTTTCGCTCACTTCCCGAACAATAGAGCCGACGTGTGACAGTTGAATGTAACATGTCGGCTCTAACTAAGGGGATGAGTGCAATTCACTCACCTCATAGTTCTCCTTTAATAACATATAAATATATAAAACAAATGTTAAAAAAATGCAGTAAATAAAGAAAACCACTCCCATATGAGCTAAAGACTAGACAAAGAATTCATGGTTTCTGACTACCAGGAACAATGTAATGGATTCACATTAGAGACTGCAGACCCTCTTGTGTTCAGTCAGACACCGCCTGTCTGGTAGTCAGGCACTAAGAGGAACACCACAGCAGAGCATGCATATGTGTATATGACCATTCCCATACAACGTATTGTCTTCAGCGCCATCTAGAGGGGCTAGTGTTATGCACAAAGCATGCGCCTAGTGTACAATAAAATATATTTTATTTTATTTTTATTTTTTTTAAATGTACCCAAAAGTATTCATAGAAATACTGTTTAAACACAACTACGCTACAACGAAAAAGCCTTCAATATGCAGCCCAGACTTTACCTCAACAGCTGTTGATCAAGTACAGTGAGTTACCCAAGTGCAATATACAGAACAGTAGGAGTGAGAAAATGTGGCCGTTACATCAGAGATTACTATAAGCAAAACTCCAGTCATTGAGCCAAAAAACGGCTGATTATGGATAGTCATGAAATACCTTTGCAAACCCGTTTTATTCCCTTCAAAAATGTAGTGGTTCAGCATGTTCAGAGAGCCGAGCTGTGGGAGGGATACAGAAGGCCCCAACCCACTACAGGCTTCCTGCAGAAAACTAGAGGAGGCGGCGGATACAAGACCAGTCACCCTGCATCAGGAAAGAGAGCAGCGGTGACTGGTCTGTAATACAGGAAGCTTTTGCACAGAAGCAAAGCTTTACACTGGATTACTGCACAGACCTGGAAGAAATACACAAACCGTACCAAGATTCAAAAAGTATACCCATGCCTCTTGTATTTAGACAATATTTGCTTATTCTAGAGTTCGCTTGTAAAAGATATTAACAATAAACTTGGTGGGGAGACGCTCTGGTAGCACTACTGAGTAAAACAAAAGTAGCTTTATTTATGACTTTTTCACAATGTGTCATGCGACTACCTTCAGCCACCTCATCAGATCCTGCAGAATTCTCCAGGCAAAGATACTTGTGTCTTGTCAGGGGAGTGCTACCTGTTGTATATTATGAGTGAAATAGATATATTTGGGGTATAAATGGATGAATGCTTATGTGCTGAAGGAAATTCTATGGGCTGATGTTATTCACCACACTTATGCTAACTAGGTTTTTATTGTGTAAGTTTCTTGACCAGTTGGCCATAACTGTTTTCAGAGTGTTGATTGTACACAATGGGACAGCTGTAGGGAATTTTGTCAAAAGAAACCTGTTTAATTAGCCAACATCAAAGGGGCAATTAGACAAGCCAATACAAAATCATTTCAGTGTTCGTAAATGACACTAAACTGTGTATGAATGCAGAGCCTAAAGTGGCTGCGGGATTGGCTGGAGAGACACATAGGGCTTATATAGACTGGAAATATATGCTGGGTAGACTGAGTGGGTCCTCATGGGGCCTTTGTCATCTGAGGTCTACATATTTTGTTATTATTATTCTGTCGGACTGTTTCTGTTCATCTGTTTCTTCGATCCAATTAAACGCCACTCTCTGGAAAAGAACTGAGGTTGCCTGGGTATTTCCTGAAGATCCAATTTTCACAACGCACATAAACATAAAAAATAGGATTTTTGTACTCACCGTAAAATCCTTTTCTCTCCGTTCATTGAAGGACACAGGGCAACAGATCGTAGATCCTGAATGGTAGGGTATATCGCCACCTGCAGGAGAAGGACGCTAGGCACATAACAAGAGACAAAGACAGCCTAGGGGCGGCCGCTGCTGGTGGCCAAACCCCCCACTTGCTGACAAGTCTCCAGTAAGTAACAAGCAGTTAGGAGTGTACACCCCATAAAAGAGGGCGGGACCTGTGTCCTTCAATGAACGGAGAGAAAAGGATTTTACGGTGAGTACAAAAATCCTATTTTCTCTCCCGTTCATTGAAGGACACAGGGCAACAGATCGTAGATCCTGAATGGTAGGGACG